TAATATTCAGTTTAGGGTTGGAGGATGGATTCAAAAGCGCATTAACATAAACCGACTTTGAATAATCCACATTTTGAATCTTATAAAACACATCTGTCTTAACAAGTTTTTAGGTTGGGGAAGTTGTGGAGAGACTTGTGGGGAAGAAAATAATGAAATACTTTTAGTCCTTGATGTCCAAGCCATTGCAACCTTACAAATTCAGAAATAAAACAAGAAACCCTAAGAAGATTCAAAGTTAAATACCTAAAATCAACAACTTAGCAATCTGATTTCAACTCAAACCTAATCTCAACTCAGCCAGCTTCTTTCTGATGATGCTCTGGATGCAGCGTCTCCCTTCTCTTCTTCGTAAAATGGATCTCCTTCCTCCGTGTACAATGGGGTGTTCGCCATCTCCTTTTCATAAAAATAAGTCTTCTAGCTTTGATTTTTCGATTTTAAAGTAGCAAAAAAAGCTTAAGGGCTGCCATTTAGAACTGGTGGTTGAAAATTTTGTTAAATTAATAGCTAGTAGTTGTTATTATTAATACTTTAAATATTTTTATTTATTTGATTAAATAAAATTATTAACTGCTAGTTTTAAACTCTTATACCAAATAACTTTTTAGTTATGTTTATTTTTTTTAACTTCTTATGATAATTTATACAGTAAAAGCTATCTTCTTTCCTAACCTCTCCTGACAAGAGAATCATTCTCTAAAATGATGTTTACATGCTAATCCTTCCTCATTCTCTATGGGTCTCAAATCATATGGATTAAAAGTTGGATTATCTTATCCTCGGTAGAATTAGTAGTGCACTTTTGTATTCAAAATGTGTTTTCTGTTTAAATTGAAGAGAAGAGAGCAGAGAGGGATTACATCATTCTATTTCTCCCATTTCCCTTCCTCCTTTTCTCGTTTGAATCCTCCTTTTCTCGTTTGAATGAGTAACTAAATTAAAAGAAAAAAAATAAAGGAAAGGAAATTTTCTCCTCCCTCTACTCTTTTCAATTTTTCTCAACCCAGACATTGATAATGGAAAGTTGGCAATGGAAAGAAAGAAGCGATAATCGGATTCTGATGGGTTCCTGCTCAGCTCTTCTCTAACGGCCCATTTAGTAAAGCCCTTGATAATTTGTACGGTCGATTGGGTCAATCATCCAATATAAAGGAGGGACCAGCTGATGGACTCTTATTCGACCATTTCTTATGACCCCTTAAGAGAAAAATAGCCGGCCCAGCATTAACAGTTTC